AGCGGGGTTCGTTACCTCGCTTTCAATAAAATATCGAAAGGAATACACGGAGCGAGGAGCTGAAGTGGGGTGAAAAGCGAGGAAACTGATCGGGAGGCGAGCAAAAGAAAAGCCATCAAAGAACAGGGTAATATGATGTACAATAGACCTGTCCTGTCTTTGTCTCGAAAAGGTCATCCAAAAGTTACCAGAATTTAGTTCTGCTGAATAAAATTAGGCAATCAGTAACTTCTCATTCACTTTCAAGCCCCAATATATATGTGCGCATACGTACGCGCGCACACACGCAGACGCACGCGTATGTATACAAATCTACAGGCGTATGTATGTAAAATCATACAGATGGCAGGAAACCGTTCGCTTTTAACCACTAAAGTTCGATCAATTGAACTGAAGACGGCATTTAACTAGGTTAAAAATATCACGGGCTTAATGAGACAAATTCGGTCTTCATTCATCAATATCATTCCTGGAGCACAAGTAAACACATTCCAGTGAGGCGAATGCTGCTTTTGCTGCTGTCGTAAATATTTTGATGCGATCTGGACCCTTGACAGGAAGATTTTGCTAACGTCTGGCATATCTAGCTAATTTATGAGTATCTTTTAAAAGATTCATTTACTGATTGGTAGATAATTTAGTTTTTTCTTTTCAGAAAATTTGTAATTTCTGGTGAGATTAACTGTTTAAATTCAGTCTGTCAGCGAGAGTTACAACTGAACGACAATTGAAATTTTAAGAGACGTCCTAAAACCTAGCAAATAGGAGCGAGGCAGCAAAACTTTTATAATTTCTGAGTGTTCAGCACGCACACGCCTTTTGATTCCGCCAGTATTTAAACTTCTAACCATTTGCAGAAAGGTGAAGTTTTTGCATCGACCATATACTCCCCTAGAATCGAATCTGTGACTATATGAATATCACACAAATTCGGTTCTACAGGGTATATATAGACAACGTAATAACATTCTGTTTTCATCTACAATATAGCAGGTCTTTGCAATTCTTAGTCCTTACTGTCTTCTGAGGAATGCAAACTATTCTGCTGGGACTCAGTTCTGAAATACGAATTTGCAGGAAGGTGGGATCTCAGAAAAGATTCACGCTGGCTATTATCGCTGCAGTAGAGCTATACCACTCTCCACCAATTTATAGCGAGGAATTTCGCCTGCCACATTCTCAGGAAGACCTGCTGCTCACTTTAAATGTTCTGCCGTTCACGTCCTCGCTACGGGAAACGGACGTGACCGGGCAAATTGCGCTATTTAGAATAATAATGGTTAAAATAATTTAGAAAAGAGCCTTTATCTATTTAGGCTAACACGAATCTGAAGAGATCCTCCACAGTTAGAAATATTCCCGCCCAGACAAAAAAAAAAACAAAAAACAAAAAGAACAAAATTAAAAAAAAATCGAAACAGAAGTAAAACAGCCGAGCCGACAACAGAAACAGCGGTTGGTGAAGAAGAGGAGATTAAAGACTGGAGTTAGTTGCTCTCGGGAAGAAGAGAGTTTCCAAATTTACCTTCATCCCATTTTGCTGGTCTAGCTATTATCCCCGCGAGCTGCCTGCGAGCCGCAGCCTCGCACCCTCCCAGGTTCTCCCCGTCGTAGCGTTTATGGTGAAGGGCAGGGCGAGAGGTCAGCCGAAATCATTTACAAACATATCACAAAGTTTCATTATTTTTACTTTGTCGACAGCGGCACACAGGAGTACAAAAGTTCATGAATTGTGTCTGACCCAGCTCCTCACTGCTGTCCTACGGTCAACCCCTTCTCCTTCTACTATTTAAAACAGGCACCATAAGGACAAATAATGGTGCGGGTGTGATACGTCCAACCACTGCGCAGGGCAGATTTGGGGGTGTTGCGTTTATCCGAGCGATGTGTACCGGTTTGTTTGACTGGCTCCAACTCCCAGCTGCCTGATCTGGGGGATGCTATTTTAAACATCTGCTTTCTTAGCACTGCGGTGGTGTCTTCTTCACTGCAAGTGCAACTCGAAACGACTTTGTGTCCCTAATCTCTTTTCCCCTCCCCTGGATTATTTAAATCTCCACTCAACTATTTTCAGCGGCTCGCCCCGCTTTCTCCTCCTTTCTCTGAGAGGAGGGGGGATACCTCCCCCTCGGGGGGTGTATTAACCACCCAGCTGAACTGGCAGGGTAACGCACACACACCCCCTTCAAACAGAGCTTGCGTTTGGGGCAGCCCCCGGGAGCAGAGAAGCCCGCCGAGGGCTGCCCGAGGAGAAGCGATGGCGCTGGGGAAGCAGCAGCTCCCTGCTCTGCTTAATACTACACATTTTCATATTTGTTAGACGCTGTGACCTGCGTTTCACCTTATTGCACGGCTTGCTCAGACAGGTCAAAGCCAAAGAGTTATTGATGAACAAAAGCGCTATATATTCACCTCCTGTTCAACTGCCCATACAAAACGCTTTTGATCTACCAGGCTTTTTGTATTCTGGTTCATAATCAGTATGCTAAATGTACGTTGGCAGAAAACAAGTAATTCATACATTTAGGGCCGGCCCTGGAATAAAATGCCAAGGGCATCTACAGAGCGCAAGGCTGAGCTACGGGGGGAGGAAAGTTACCTATGGAACACGATTAAAACTGCAACGCTGGAGGCGATTCTTTAGTTCGTATTTAAAGGGCTCGAAAACCAACATCGCAAGGTAAGGCGAAAAGAGAAGGAGATGCCTGGCACGAGCAGTGAAAGAGATTATTTGTTAGGAAGCAGGGAGAAACAAAACCACACACAGCTCCGCTCCTGTGCGTGCTGCCCGTCAGTGGGGCTTGCAGAAACGGGGAGGGCGAGGTATACCTAATGAATCTCCCAACATCGCAGCCTTTCTTTTCCTCTTTGAGAGACAAGCCGGTCTCAGCCTGAAACACCAAGACTAGGTAAGGACTTAGCTCCTTACCACAGCCAGAAAGGTTCAACAGCATTTCCAGCTACACACCGAACTGCTGCCCTCCCCTCTCCCCTCTACAGCGCAGCGGGACCATCGGGGATGCGAAAGCCCCTACAGTAAAAGGTTGCCCTCCTAAGCTCAGATATCCATTCCCTTCCGTGCCTCCACAGCATTTAAATCCACGTTTGACCCTCCATTGCCCGGAGAGACCTAGTAGCAGAGGACCGGCGCTACCGCCCCGAACGACCCGGCTGCAGCGTGGTGGTCAGCCCCGACAGTCTCCAGCGCCCGCCGCCTCTGTCACCCATCCGCCGGGCTGTGCCAAGCGAGGTTAACATTAGACAGCAGGCACGACCCTGCTTTGAATCCCATCTGGAGAAAAGAGGGGGAGTAGCCGAGGTTATGAGGCGCTGGGACACAACGTGACCCGTCCGGGCTCTGCACGGGGAGGCGCTGTACGGTCCCACCGGCTCGAAATGGGAACGCTGCTAATTGCTTCGGAGTGCTTAAGAGCGGGAGGACACCTGTATAGCCCTGTAGTAAACCCTCAGGAGACCGCACCTCTACTTTTAACGCTAGCCAGGATTATGACATGGTACCACAAGCCGACTCCACAAAAGCCTTCACATGCTGACATAGCTGCTTTTTTTTTTTTTTTTTTTTTTTTTTTTGGTAGCGTTATTCAGCAAGGATACATCAGTTTTAATTCTTCCAGTCTGAAGGGAATAAACAGGATTTTTAAGCATCGCAAACTCTAGAAGAAATAAGAGGTCACTTACCGTGGATGTCCCTCCATGCTGCCGAACCTGTTGCAATAAAAACGTTTGTTACTGTTGTATTCCACATACGGGTGATATTTCTGGAGAACAGTTACAGACCACGTTTGATAGATGAAGGCAGAGAGGAGCTGATGGTAAATCCTGCGAGCAGCAGAGTGGTGGGGTGGAAGCCCCTTCCGAATGAGGACCACGTTGCATTCAGGCAGTTTTTTATGAACACATGCTTTCCCTGTGTCTGGGGTGTGATCCTTCACTTTTAATATTCATAGTCTAGATTTTATACCGGATAATTTCTAAAAGGATGAAAAGTCAGACCTCCCTCTTTCACCGATGGAAAAAAAAAGAATAACAAAGGCCTTTTTATTGTTCTGTGGCAATCCAGTCACTTACAAATGAAATATTCAGATCACCTCTGCTAAATCATCACCCATAAAATGTCACAATATGCCATGCAGCATCATATCCATGCTGAGCACAGAAAGAAGTACAATTTTATAAGAATAATTCTCTCATCACTCTAAGATAGATCCCTTTTAAGATCACCTAATTAACCTAAGAGTAACCACGAGACATGCGTCTTTGTTTGCATTATAGAAGGATAGATTCGGCTTGAACTTTCCTTCAGATCTTCTAAGAAAAGTATTCAAAGATCACTTTAAGGAAAACAAAAACATGCGCTCAGTCTAATGCCCCTGAAATGCATCGTATATTTAAAAGTAAAAATACTAATATCGGGGGGTTCTTTTCTGTAAGCGATTTTTCACCTCTTCTATTGCCTTCCTACGATATCTTGGAGAGTTATTGTATTACACACAGAGCAATCGCTTCGGCATCAATAGTTCACTAGATAGAGCTTCCCAAGACTGTTTTTGTTTAAAAAATATATTTTTAGTTCTGCCCACTCTGGGTAGCATTC